ATTAATTTAAAGAAAAAAGTAAACTAATTTTACACAATCTCTCCAGAAAAATACAAAATGAGGGGACATTCCCTAATTCATTTTATGAAGCTAATAGTACATAAATGTCAAAGGTAAATATTGATAGTCCAAAAATATAAACAAAAAAACTACAGATCAATATCGCTAATTAATGTGGTTTCAAGAAGTCTTTAACAAAATACAAGCAAATAGAATTCAGCAATATATATAAAGAATCATAGGCCATGCATGACCAAATGCCATTTTTTCCAAGGGTGGAAAGATGGTCTCTTATTCATAATCAGTCAGTGTAAAGCTGGTTTAATATTCACAACTAATCAATTTAGCCTATAATATTGACAAACTAAAGGAAAAAACTTTATAATCGTATAGACCAATGAAGTAAAGCATTCGACAAGGTTCTATCCTCATTTGTGGTTTTAAAAAAGCATTCCAGGGTGTAAGAGTGCTTGCTGGTCTCATAGAGGACTGCAGCTCGGCTCACAGCACCAGTGTTAGGCAGCTCACAACCACCTGTAACTCCAGTTCCAGGGGCTAGGACGCCCTCTTCTGGTCTTCCCAGGCATCTACATACACATACTGCACATAAACTCACACAGGCATACACACATACACGTAATTTTGTTTTAATTCCAGAAAGATAAAAGAAGAGGGTAACTTCCTCAATGTGCTAGAGAGACTATAGATAGAGGTAACAAATGAAACACTGGCTGTTTTCCCCCTAAGACTAGGAGCTAGCAACAGTGTTTGCGTTCATCCCCATAGACAGGACAGCACTGGAGGGTCTAGTCAATCCAATAAGACAAGAAAAACAAATGAAAGGCGTATAGACAAAAAAGAAAAATATAGCTTCCTCTTTACAAATGACGTGACTGCACAGCAAGGTTACAGCACACGAGGGCCACACACAAAAGTCAATGGTCTCAGCTGGGTGTGGTGGCGCACACCTTTAATCCTAACACTCGAGAGGCAGAGGCAGGTGGATCTCTGTGAGTTCAAGGCCAGTCTGGTCTACATAGGGAGTTCCAGGACAGCTGGGGCTACAGGGAGACCCTGTCTCAAAAACACCAAAAAAATTTTTTTAATAAATAAATAAATAAGTCAATGGTCTCTACATACTAGTGCTTAATATACAAATATCCCAAGAATAGAGAGTCACTGTGTTCATAGATTGGAAGACAACAGAGAAAAAAACATGTCAGTACTCCCCAAATTTGTATTCAGATTTCACACAATTATTGTCAAAATCCCGGCAAGAAGTTTTTGCCGTTGCAGAACACATTATTCTAAAAGATATCTTGGAAAGAAAAGGGATTAATGGATCTAAAACCATTTTGAAAAGAACAGAAAAAGTGAGAGCGATTAGTCTACCCTATTTAAAACATAGTCCACAGCCCCATATAAACACAGTAGCCAAAATGATATGGTGTTGACAATGCTGTGTAGCAATCACAGCTATGTAGTAATAAGGGCTGTATATCCTGTACTGTAGAAGATCAGACACGCAAATCAGTGACACAGACTAGAGAACTCAGAATCAGAGCCAAACACATCCAACCAAAGTGCAAATCAACACATGGAGGACAGATAGTGCTGGGCCACTGGTCACCTGTGAGCAAAGGAAAGGTCCTCAACCTAAACCGGATGCCTCGAAACCAAGCACTGCTTAACTGTAAGACATAAAAAGGTTTAATTTTCTTTTAATAGAAACTACTTATAACCTAGGGCCAGGCAGAATTCTTAGACCTGCCAGCAAAAGCAGGTTAATTTTAATTAATGATCCATTAATAGGAAAAAAATGAAAAATGGGGTTCATCTAAACTTTTTGTTCTGAAAACCTATTAGGGGAATGGAAAGAAAGGATGGAGAGGTTCAATTCTGGGGTTGAGAGAGGGGGTTGCTGCGGAGTGGGAAAACATACATGTAGCCCAAGCTGGCCTCAAACTCATGATCCTCCTGCCTCAGTCTCTGGGAGTACTAGGATTATAAGCACATGCCACCATGGCCGGCTTGGAGAAAATACGTTTCTAAAGCACATATTTGACAAAAGGATAGTTTCTAGACTATATAAAGTGCTCTTTCAATGGTATAAGAACAAAAGGTAACCAGCTTGAACAGGAGCAAAAGACACTAGGAGACTTCACACACAGCTTGCAAAAAATAAAAAGCACATGAACAGAAGGATTCGAGCGACACCAGGGCATCACCTCACACACACACCAGAAAGACTGAGGTTAAGCAGACAGGTAATAAGACAGAGAATCTGGTTTGGGAGGTCTACCCACCTCACCATTCTACTCCGACATTAGCAAAGGCAAAACGATAAAGAGTAAAAGAAAGGGCAGAGCTTTTAGGGCAGGGAAAGCCTTCTGCTTATCTGTGTGATGGGCATGCACCACACCAGGCAGTTCTCAAAGTCCGAGAATGCACAAGGCCCTGTGTGAACGTAACGCAGGGACCGGCTTCAGGTAACAGTGACGTGGGGATGCGGGTTGGATTGTCGTGAAGGAACTGCTACGGTTCAAGCTGTTGCTGGAGAAGGCGGTCCATAACAAGGAATGATGGATGACAGAGCTCTGGACCGGCTACTCAATTATTTTCTTCCTTTTGATCTTTTTGTGACAGGGTCTCCTTGTAGCCCCAGCTAGCCTAGAACTTACTATGTAGATCAGGTTGACCTTAATCTCACAGGGATCTACCTGCCTCTGCCTCTCCAGTGCTGGGATTAAAGGCATGTGCCGCCATGCCCGGTTCCATCAACTCAATTTTATCACAAATCTTAAACTGCTGTAAGAGTGAAGTCTATAAGCCAGAAGTGCTGGTCCGTACCTATAATTCCACCACTCAGGAGGCATAGGCAGGAGGATTTGCAAGTTCAAGTCCAGCCTAGACGATATAGTGAGACTCTGTCTCAAAAAAACAAAGAACTGGAGAGATGGTTCAGTGATCAAGGGCACAGGCTGCTCTTGCAAAGGATCCGGGTTTGATTTCCAGCACCCACATGGTACCTAATAATTGTCCATAACTCCAGTTCCAGGGGATCTGATGTCCTCTTCTGACTTCCATGAGCACTGCACACACGCACACACACACACACACACACACACACACACACAGAGTGAACTTACATATATGCAAGTAAAACACATAAAATGAAAAAAAATAAAAATAAAAACAGCACAACAAAAGTATATTTTTAAAACTAGTGACAATACCGAAAGCTAGCAAGGATTCAGAGAAATGGAATCACTCATGTAGTGCTGCTGGGAATGTAAAATGGTGCAAGACTTAACGATTTTTTTTAATGAAATCAGTAGTGATATCAATGTTCTGATACTGTGTAATGACACATTTCAAACAGTTAAGAGCTGCCTGGCTCGGTGAACCAAGACTTTCTAAATGATCGATATAGCATGTCACAAAACTGTGCTTAGTTGAAACCCATTCAAAATACACTTGGCATTTTCTGGACAGCATTTAGAATTTGTTCTCATGGTTTCAGATTCTAATTGCAACTGACCTTTATAAAAACTAGCCATTCACCAACTTTTTAAAAACTATTTTATTTATTGTTTTTATTTTATGTGTATGAGTGTATTGCCTACATGTGTGTTAGCACCCATGTCCTGCAATGTTCGTGGAGGTCAGAAGAAGGAATCAGATCCCCTGGAACTGGAGTTACAGATGGTTGTTAGCTGCCATGTGGGTGCGGGGATTGAACCCGTGTCCACTACAAGAGCAGCCAGTGCTCTTAACCACTCAACCAAGTCTTCAGCCCCCCATTTGCCAACTTTTAACAAATATCCACATTTACTTGCAAAGTCTATTCAGAATCGACCTCCCCTCTGTAATGCTGATCTGTACAAAGTTAGTTCTTCCTGTCCTTCAACCAAGACAACATATCCCAACAGGCTAGGTGCAGAAGCAGGGGCAGGAAATCAGCTGTCTGACACCAGGAAGTCACAAGAGAAATGTAAACGACACTCATAATTTGGTAAATGTAGTTATTTTAAATTTTAAAATATTATGCTAACTTCTAATGTCCTCTTTCTAAACTTTTATTTTAGAGCTTGTACTTTGCCAACTGGGCTATATCCCCAGAACAGTTTATTCATCTTTGATTTTTAAATCTATATGTAAGTATATGTCTGTATAAGTGTATGCCAAGTGTGTGAGGGTGCCCGCAGGGGCCAGAAGAAGGTATTGGATCCCCTGGAGTTGGAGTTACAGGTGATTTTGAGCTGCCTGACATGGGTGCTGGGAACTGAACTTGGGTCCTCTGCAGGAGTAATACTAGCTCTTAACCACTGTGTCATCTACCCAGCCCCTATTCTTTTTAATAATTAATAAATACATAGTTTAAAACGTTCTCTATGAGTTCTTCAGAATGCAAACATTAGTCAGTGGAATATCCATAAGCTAAAGTTCTTTGGAGTTCATAGTAGTTTAAAATTGTATACTACCCCAAAACCTTGGAGAACTTGGAGAAACCACCCTCCCCCACCCCAAAACCTTGGAGAACTGCTGCTGACCCCGTTGAAAGCTTTCCTGGTGGCTGGAGTCCTACACTCAAATTTGAAGACAAGCTCAGGTATCCCAACAATCACAGGAGAAAACAAAGACGAGCCTTTAGGGAAGCCGAGAGAGACCCTGGGCCGGGACAGCGCTGAAACTACTGTGACCCCTCACGTGAATCATCTCCACTGCATATCTTTGGTGTGAGTCCAGGAAGTCACTGTTGGGTCCTGGGATGGAAGGATCAGTAATTTGAGAATCTGTCTCCAACAGCATTCTCCCTGTGGTAAATGTAGTTCAAAATCATCTAAAGTGGTCTTAAGTGTTGTGAGAGAGACAAAAAGGGAGAGATCATCAATTTGACTTTTAATAAAATAATGATTTATTGTCGTTCAGCTATTTATAGAGATGAGTGAGATGGATGTTACACAGCTTAGGTGGGATGTTCTTCTATGATGAAGAGTCCTTTCTCATTTCACTGTTGGCTGTGTGGTTGAGTTGATCTTCAAAATGCATATTGCTGAAAGGGAAAAGAACAATTGATGACCTAAGTCCTAATTTTAAAACTGTCACTTCAATGGATCACAATGCATTGGTCTAACTTTCAAGTGAAGTCTCCCATCTGTCTCCTGGCATCTCTCTTAGCTGCTACCTGCTCTGTCCCCAGGAAGATGCCCTGACCTTTGGGGCTTGAGTTCCCAGTGTACTAAATACTTCTTCTGGCCTTTACAGCACTACACACACACACACACACACATACACACACACACACACACATAGATAACGTTAGGGAGAGCACTCATACTGGCCTCAGAAAGGACATCAACACACACACACACACACACACATACACACACACACACACACACATAGATAACGTTAGGGAAAGCACTCATACTGGCCTCAGAAAGGACATCATTCCAATATTCCAATTTAAGATCTAAACTAGATCTAGAAGATCTTTATTGCTGAATCCACTGGAGAAATGCCAAGATGAAGGAAAATGTCAGTGGCCACCTCACGTCTGGGAATATGTTTAAGTGACTCAGAGACAGAGCAATGCTACTGTGTCATCATGGTGGTGGTGGTGGTGGTGGTGGTGGTGGTGGTGGTGTGTGTGTACACTCAGTGTCCCTGCCATGTCTCTGGGATGGTGGTAACTCCCCCACTCTGCTGACTTTACCTTCTTTCTCTCTTTGTTTTTTGTTCTGTTTTGTTCTGTTTCTAAGATAGATTCACTATGTAGCCCTGGCTGGCCTGGAACTCCCTATGTAGACCAGGCTGGCTTTGAACTCACAAAGATCTGCCTCCCTTGTGCTGTGACTAAAGGTATAGGCCACCACACCTGATCTTTTCTTTGTTTTTGATCATGTTCCTTAATTCCTTCTGATTTGTACTGACTCAGTCAGAGCCCTTACAACAATCTTTCTTACACTTTCTGGCTCCTAGGGGAAGGCTCTAGACAGTCCCATGCACCTTCCTAACTGGTCCTCCAGCCTCACAACTTCCTACCGTCCCTGAACCCATACCTGGAACATCCTACTTGGCTGTGGGGATCAGACCCACAGGCCCAGCTTCTGTCAGGTTGTCTAGCCAGGTCCCACATTGATTTCTCTCTCCCTGCTAAATTATAAAATAAGCTGGAAATGGCTGTTTAAAAGAAAATCAACCTATATGGCTTTTTAAGTACATAAGTGACCCGTTGCTGGATGGTGGTTTAAACAACAACCAGGACAGGACTAAATGAGAATGTAACATTTGCTTTCAACATCACTGTCCATTTTCTGACTGATTTTGCAAAAGTAAAAATATCAGTGTCCTGGCCAGAGAGATGGCTCAATAGTTAAGACCACTGGTTGCCCTTGCAGAGGGCCCTGGTTCAGTTCCCAGCACCCACATTGCGACTAACAACCATCTGTAACTCCAGTTCTAGGGGATCTGATGCCTCCTTCTGGCCTCCATGGGTATTGCATGACACAGGTGCATTTACATATATGAAAGTAAGACACTCATATACATAAAATAAAAATAAATTAAAATTCATTAAAAATTTTTAAAAAATGAGTATCCTGATACTGGGTTGTCCACTTAAAATCTTCAACTCCTGCATAATAGCATTTCTTAAGAAAATGCACACTTGCTTCAGCTAACTCTGATGTTTTTCCTCTCAGAGATGTGTTTTCTCATTTGTCTCACCAGCAGGGTTCCAGATGTTTTCATTTGAATGAAACTGAACTGGAAGACAGATCTTCACTCTAATGTCCAGCTGCGACCACTGCTGCTCTGTGCTCTTTGGTAAGAATGTGACTCTGCCTGGCCCTCTGCTCTCTACCTCTGGGGTCTAGTGGATCCCAGGGAGCATGCTCAGCCTTCAACACGGCTTTTATGGGAGACATGTGCTCCCCCGAAGGCTGCTGCCCTGCCAGTTTTATGCACTCCCTGGGGTAGTCTCAGTGCCCCCGCCTTTGATATGGAGAGTACAAAGACCTGGCCCCCTTCCTTCAAGTCTAAAGTAGCTAAGGATCTGTCCCAGCTCCCAGGCTCCCTGAAGGACAGGCTACAGCCCAAGAGACCTGCACCATGGCCCCAGCCTCACCCCACCCAACCCACTGCCTTCACTCTACATAGGTGCTCCCCAATAAACCACTGTCATGAAATACTTACCTCAGGACCTACTGCCCAAGGACCCAGCCTCAGAGTGGGTGGCTTCAAGAGTTCCTTGTCTTTAAGAAATAGCCTGAGGCAAAACTTTAAACCCCTCATCTGAAAAACTTGCCTTAGAATTAGTTATTTCATAAGAAGCCAGAATTCACTAGAACCTTCCTTGAAGGAGAAGGTTCTCAAATACGCCTGTACCCCCTGCTGCCAGCCCCGAGCTCAGCCATCAGACCTTCAGAATGAAGGCACTTGTAAGCCACATGCCCTTTGCCAGGGAGGTGGAAACGTGCAGGGAATGCCAGATGTGTCATTTGCACCCCAGAAAAGCACAGATAACCAGACACAATTTTAGATACAATTCAGGAGTAATATGAACTCCCTTCAAGAAGCATCTACGGACCCCAAGTTCAGACTCATTGATTTACAGTTGAGATAATAGGAACCAGCTCAAACCAGTTGTCCTAGCCTAAGATACAAAAAGCTTAAAAATAAAGTGCTTTTAAAAGTCCTAGCTGCTCTTCGTGTGATTCCATCTGTAGGTTTTGAATAACCAAATGGCGACCTGCACTTACGTCTCCTGGATTTACGGCTGCTGCGTTTGAACTGGTCTTGCTCCGGTATTTCCTGCGGGTGCAGTAGACGCTGACGAGGGTGATGATGAGCATCACCGCAAACACAGCGACGGTGGATGAAACAGCGATGATGATGGTGTCTCGGGTGGAGCCTCGATTTTCACACCTTGTTCCCATGTACCACCAGTCTTCACCCGCAGGACACCTACATATGGAAGCACGATGTGGAGTGAGTGTGGGCATTCAGCTGTGGGCATCTTCACCATTGAAGGGCTCGGCACCTCTAGTTTTTAAAAAATATCTATTTTCTTTTTACGTGTGTGTGTGTGTGTGTGTGTGTGTGTACATGAGTGGAGGCCAGAAGACAGCTCTGGATCGTCCAGTAGAGGTAGCTGGGAGCAGTCCAATGTGGGTGCTAAAAACTGAACTCAGGTCCTCTGTGTGAGCAGCAAGCCCTCTTACCCACAGAGCCATTTCTCTAGCCCCATACCACCACTGTGAGCTTTCGACCTTGACTAGGGACTCAGCAACTTCACCTAGAAAATGGGAACCTCCCAAGTCAAGAGACCAGGGCTATTGTGAGGGTTTAATAAGATATGTGGCTTGTGAAGATGTTTTGGAAGAAGCCATGACGTATGTACAATGTGCTCTTTCTTCATAAGCAATTCCATCATCCTGGTAGCTAGCCAGATCCCAAATGAAGTGCTAAAAAATAACTGTTCTCTGAGTGCCTCTGAGATCACAAGTGATCAGCTGTAGCCCTGTAAATTATCATCAGCCAGTTCCACAGTGGGATCATAACATTTCTAGGGAGAGCAAACAGCAGTCTCTCTGTGAGACCTACCTGCACTCAGCTCTGCCCTCTAGGACAGTGCAGATGCCACCATTCTGACACTGGACTTCGGAGCAGGAGTCGAGGACAGTTGAGGCTGAGCCTGGGATGTTCAAGGTTGGGACTGGCTTCATTTGTGTAGAATTGAGGTGAGATATGTCTAGGAGGGAAGGAGAGAGTGTGATAGAAAACAGCTCTTAGTTTAGTAGTCATTGGACACATGATATTCAGGGTACAGGCTTGTGAGAAATGTATGCAATCTTCATTTTTTAAAAAATGTGTGAGCACATGTATGCGTGTGTGCATGTGTATATGTGTAAGTGTATGCCATGTGTGCAAGGGTGCCCATGGACACCAGAAGAGGACATGGGATTCCGTAGAGCTGAAGTTACAGGCCCGTGTGAGCTGCCTGCTACGGGTGCTGGAATCTGAACTCGGGCCCTCTGGAAGAACAAGAAGCACTCATCAGTACTCATTAGCACGGAGCCTTTTCTCCAGCCCCAGAAACATGCGTAGCATGCTCCAGTAGCATGTAAAACAGGTAAAATGTGGATCAGACAAAGGTGGGAAGATGGCTATAGGTAAATGCTTGCCTTGTAAGCATGAGGACTTGGGTTTAATCTCCAGAACCCATGTAAAAAAAAAAAAAAATCCAAGATAGGTGGTGCATTCCTGTAGCCTCCATGCTGGGGAACTGGAGACAGGCAGGCAGATCACTGCAGCTCAGAGGCCAGCCAGCCTAGCCTAGCTGGCAAGCTCCAGGTAAACGTGTAAGACCCTGTCTCAAATTTTTAAAAAAGGTGGATGTCACTTGAAGAATGACAGCCAAGGTTGTCCCCTGGTCTCTATACACACAGAGACACAGACACAGACACAAAACACACACACACACACACACACACACACACACACACACACATGCACAGAAACAGGCAGAAGGAAGCCAGTCTAGGTTGTTGGGATGACATCTTAAACACAGGTTTCCTGGCTGTTAGAACTCTAATGGACACAACCTTTGATCCCCACCTTCTAAAGCATGGTAAAGAAATGAAAGCTGAACTGTGTAAGAGAGCTAAGGACCCAGCCCAAGGTCCTGGGTGCCCTGTGTAGGGAAGTAAGAAGGCAGAGATGTCCAGCCTAAGGGTTTCCAGTATGGCTTTATGCAGTAGCAAATAAATTCTTAATCCTGGAACTTTCATTCTTTCATTAAATTATTTTCATATTTTTAATGACTCACACCCAAATTCCTTCACGCCTGCCCATTTCCTCCCAGATCCCATAGTATATCTAAAATTGAAATGCAGAAAAGCACACTGAACAATCAATGACCACAACAAGAAAAAAGCAGTTTGCGTAGAGCTGCTATTGCCATACCTTCGACTGTTAGTACGATATAAACATCATCTCCTTTTATGAAATCTCTGCTCTTCAGCCTCTCCTGGGTTATAAAGGCACTGGTCCCATAGCCTCTGCTCCTGCTAAACTGAGTTCCATTAGGGAAAAGGACCACCTGCCCCACTTTGGAAGGTCTGTCCCAAAAATAGTCTCCATTATCTGAAAAAGCAATTTATATTAATGAGCTGTATTTAGCATCATCATAGGAAAGAACAGGCAATGTGAAACACAATTAGGATGGAGCTCAAAATAATTAAACAATGCTATTGACCTGCGATGTATTCCCCGGCAGGTCACTGGAGCTTCCTCATTTACACTGCCCTACAGGAAATGAGATTGCTTGGCACAGAGGACCACCACACTCTAGACAATGTGTGGAGCGGCATCGGGGGAGGTTACCACACCTATCCATGTTGCCTGTTCTAGAAACACTTCTGTCTGACGGGATTGTGTCTCAGTGGCCTCTGAGTTATGGTAGTCCTTTTAACTGAGGGAGAGCAGTAAGTTGTTGAGTCTCTAATACTAGCAAAGAATATTTATCTCATAAACTGAATCAAATGGCATTTCAGTGTCATGAAGAGAAACATTTTGAAGAATGAAAAGATTCTGAATGCTAAAATCCTACAGTTCCCTTTGCATGTTTTCTTTCTCTATCAGATAAGTTCCTTTTTTATTCCTATGTCACTTTGAGCGTTCTCATTTATAAAATTCAGATTTAGAAATATTCAACTTCCCATAATTCTATTTTTTCTTCTCTACGGTTCCCCAAGTATAATTCCAAGTGTGATCACTGCTTTCTGGGGGATGATCCTTTTTGAGACTGGGGATGATGTAACCCTCAGTAAATCCCCCAGAACTCTTTAATAAGAAGTTGCCATCTACTCCCCTGCTACTCCAGCAGTGTCCCAGTATGCCTACCCAGCATCTCCATTCTGATCAGAAGCCTCCATCCCCAGAGCTGAGTTGAATTATTTGGACAATTCCAGCTGCCTGACTAGGCAGTATGGGGTAAGGGGAACTCAACACCAGGCGGACTTTCCCCACCAAGCCCTCCCAACAGACCTCCATACTGATCTCTCCTAATTCTCTTAACAAATCTGTGGGGGTTACTGTTCCTGTCCTGGTTTTACAGCCAGAGACAGTGGGCTCCCAGAAGCCTTTTGTTCAAGGTCACACAGCTAATGAGAAGAAACCTTGGATTTGAACGCAAGCATGCGGGACTTTAAAGCCAACATTCCTTATACAATATTGGGAGTTCAGGGATGGTGAGTTTCTAGGGTCAGAATCATTGTTGACCCAGCAGTCTCCCAGCAGCCTCTTGGCCAGGACTTTGTTCTCAACTACTGAGTCCTTTCCCTAGAGCTGGAAATCCTCACTGTGAAACTGAACTTTCCCTAGGTACCCCATCCCTCCTTGAGCAATGATCACGCCCTGGCCATAAAGAAAATAAGCCACGAACCTGTGGTCATCAATGGGTCTGTCGTTATACTCCGCTGGTTGGACATACGCTGCCGAATGTCAGGATTTTGATCCAAGAGTGTCATCGTGGCTTGTTGCCAAGGACACGGCCACTGTAACTGATCATCATTGGCTCCAGAGATCAGGTGGAAATAAATTCCCACATTAGGCAAGGACTTCAGAGTCAAGTAAATCTGAAAGGCGTAACCTTTAGGAGAATAAAATGGAGGACTGTATACATCTTCCTGGCTGTCAATGAGCTGTGTGAAATTCTGAATATGCCAGATATGGTGAGGGCATCGTGTTTCTGAAAGATTGATGTCATCAATAGACAGACCACCTGATGATACGCCAGAGCCTCTACGTCCTTCAAATGCCACTCGAAATTTATTAGTCACTTGCAATGTAATGTGGTAAAGTTGCCAGCTCCCAATGGGTATTTCTGCAGAAAGAATCAGTATTTCAAGGAAGATAGAAGACTTGTGAATGTGCTTATACAATCAACTTTAGATTCTAGCCTTCAAGGGCAACTGATGGCCCCAGAGCTACTGATCCCTATGGGTGTGAGGGATGGTTTCTTCATTCCTTCAGCCCAAGATCACTGACTAAGGGTATTGTTCTGAAATCAGATTGTTCCCTGGGCTGACAGAGCTGCCTCTCTTAGTTGATGGGTGAGTATCCAGCTCCTGAGTGCTCCACAGCTGCTAATTAATTCCCTAGTATTCTGCATTGGCTAACAGTTAGTGAAGCCCAGTATTTAATACTTGTGATTCTGCAATATTCAGTCTTCTTTAATATATAATTTCACCGGAATACTTCCTTCACACACAGAAACTTTCGGTTGGCTTTTAGCAATATTTAGCAGGGATCTAAAACCCTGAGAAAGCCTCGTTCTGTTCACTTCTTAGATTAACTAGTAACTCCACAGTGTAAGTACTTACCTGATGTTTGGCTCTCCTCTCTTTTCCTGCATTTCCTTCCTACCTTATACTGCCAGCTCACACATAGGATCGGGGAGGCTTTTCCAGCTCATTTAAGCTGGATATTAGAGAAAGAGTCTCTTTTCCAATCATAAAGAAGTAAGCTGGGAAGTGGAGCTCCTAATCACCACATCTCCCACTCTCCAATAAGAAGCAATACACTAAAAGCCTTCAGGATCCCCCAGGTAGACAACAGGGTAAAAATCACACCAAACCAGCACTTAACACACTGGATGGAAACTTAAATAGATCAGCTCTTAATGAGAAACAAAATTGTTAAAAATAAGTTAGAGAGGTCCAGATTGCAGAAAACACAACTGTCTATGGATAGACTAAAAATTGAGCAAAAAATTTTATCAGACGTTTGGCTTCATTGTGGTCAGTTTAACCCATGAACTCTGGAAGAACCTCGAAGCAAGGCTCCTGAATGCTGGGTATTACTGTCTACAATGACCTCCCTTCTAAGTCCTGACAACAATATACACACATATTTATATTTGTATTAACATGCATATTAATGCATATTTGTATTAACATATATGAATAAGGTCTTTATATTTATATTCTATAATTTCATATCGAGTATAAATATACAATGTGTGCACACTTTTCATAAGATTAAGAACCTTGCTGTTGATAGGTATTCACAGGCACAAATGACATCTGTATTTTAGCTTCTTTCTCACTAATGAAGGGGGGCGCGTCACAAACATAGGACAGTGTGGATTCTCTTTATAATGTGTTTGGTTCAGCTCATTGAATCAAGAGGTCGGTATGTACAGGAGAGAGTAGTCACTAAGTGCCAACTCGATGAGAATTAGAGTCACCACAGAAACAACCCCTGGGCGTGTCTGTGAGGGATTCTCTAGATTAGGTCAATGAAGGTACAAAGACTCATCTTAAATGTGGGCAGAGCCATTCTGTAGGTTGGGGTCCTGGACTACAGAGAAAAGAAAAAGTGAGCTGAGTGCCATCATTGACTTCTTTGCTTCCTGACTGCAGAGCTCACTCCCCTGCCACCATGCCTTCCCTGCTGTGATGGGCTGTATCCTCAAACTGTGAGCCAAAATAAACCTTCCTTCCTTCAGTTGCTTTTGTCAGGTATTTTGTCATAGCAGTGAGAATGGTAACTAATTCAACAGCCACATCCTGTCCTTCCCCAGGGAACTCTCTTAGCTTTAATAGGTGTCCTTGATCCACTTCTCTGACACAGGGTTGATGTGAAATGTGGACACCCACTCCCCACATGAATTGCTCCATGGTGGCCTTTACTCCGAGTCACATCAGAGGCCTTCGTAGGAATTTATTTTTTAAGCTAGAAACTAGAGAAAGAGTTCTTTTTATTTTTGGATGGCACATTTGGAAACACCAGACCACTGTGAGATAAAATGAGAGTTCTGCAACAGTGTTCATGGATGGGCCCAGGCCTCTCCAAGGCCAGTTCCTCTTATCCATGTTATGCCTGCATGTATGTAAGTGCACATGTGTTGTACAATGCCAGTAGAGGCCAGAAGAGGGTGCGAGATCCCCTGGAACTGGAGTTACAGATGGTTGTTAGCCATCATATGGGTGCTGGGAACTGAACCCAGGTCTTCTGTAAGGCAGTCAGTGTTCTTAACTGCTGAGCCACTCCTCCAGCTCTGCACAATGTGTTTTTATTACTTGCCGAGAACTGAACTCCACAGTTCCAGAAATGAGCTCCATTTTTTAAAGCAAGTGTCACACAATGACCCACACAAAGGACCCTCATTTGAACATCCTTATTGAACAGGAAGTCTCAGGTTCCAGTTGAAAAGTGAGTCAGCTGCACCTGCCCTGCTTCCCCTTGCTGTGTTAAGTGAAGAGAGCACCTCACACTGGATCCAAACTGTAAGAAGGTGAATATTGTACCTTTTATTTCTTTCGTAAGAGTTAAAACCCCATGTGGGGTCCCCGTAGTGTACTCCCGGATGTAGATGTTTAGCTGGTCATTTCCACTGCCACTGTTGTACAGATAAAATTCCAAACACTGAAACCCTCTCTTGGGGTACAGTGTTCTACTTTCCAACATCGCTGTGGCCCCCTCGTTCACAGAGCTGGTGTCAAAATGCATGAAGAAGCCAGAACCTGTCAGAGCACAAAAGCAGAGACTACAGAGCTGGACATTATTCTCTTTACCTTAGGTTTAGCATTTGCTCAGTTTTCATTCCCAAATGTATGGCCTGAATCCATCCCCAGGGTGCATGCATTGGAAAGTTTTCAAATTCACATGTTGATGGCATTTGGGGGTGGGGCCTTTGGGAGGTGATCGCATAGATTTACATAGAATTTACACAGAATTACATAAAGTCGGGGCCCTCGTGCTGGCATTAGTGGCTTTACGAGAGGAAGACACTGGAGCCCACATAGTTGTCTGTGCCACATATGACCTTTGCCCTGTGATGCAGCAAGATGTCCCTCAACAGATGACAAGCAGATGCCGGGCACGTTACTCTTGGACGTTAAGCCCCTAGAACCATAGTAAAGTGATTTCTCTTTTCACAAATTACCCAGTCTAGGTAATCAGTTAAAGCAAAGAAACCAAGCATGACATTATGCTGGGCATTTCAGTAAGTTCCAGGAGGAGGTAGCTCCTGAAAGAGACAGCATTAGAACCTTGACCCCAGGGTAGACCATCAGAGCTATCAAGCTGTAAGTTCTTTTTTTTAAAAAAAAAATTATTTTAACTTCATGTATATGAGTGTATTGCCAGCATGTTTGTAAGTGCACCTATGTTGTGCGATGCCCAAGGAGGTCAGAGAGGGCATTGGATCCCCTAGAACTGGAGTTACAGATGGTTATTGGCTGCCACCTGAGTGCTGGGAATCGAACCAGGGCCCCCTGCAAGAGCAGCCAGTGCTATTAACCACTGAGGCACCTCTCCAGCCCCAGTGTTTATAAGTTCTAAAGTCTACTTTCATGTGTCTTCTAGAAATACACAAGTAAATATAAATGTGCTACTCGGAGTCAAGTGACTGCTTAATTCAAAACAAAATTTCATAATGGAAAAGGATGCTCACTGGGAGAGAAGTAAATAGATTGTGTTTCCTGTCTTCATTTTAGGCATGTGAGTATTTCATAGCCAGTTCTGTTTGTTGGCATCTCCTGCATTCTGTGAGGTTCTAGAAAAGAACAACACAGTCCCTGAAATAAAAGTCCTTCCAAGAGGCTCAGCCCTCTCCTGCTCTGGGCACATACTGATGGAATCATCAACAGCTCTGGTGTATAGAAAGAAAAACATTCTAAGAGGATAAGAGCAGAGAAACAACCTGTCTTTTTCCTACATAAGGCACTGTTCTTCGGAAAACTGAATAGGTTATCATTAATAATCCTGATATAAATGAGAGATAAAATGCCAGTCTTTCAGAGAGACCTGGAAGGCTGGAGCCACTGTAAAATCTCCTTTACCTTTGCACCGGCCCATGTTGGAGTGATCGCTTTCTGGGCCCCCAGGAATCTGTGAAACCCGTTGCCAGTCAACACTATCTCCTGAACTTTGAATCATGCCACAGATATTTTCCAGTTCAAAATCACATGAGTCCATAAAACTCAAGGAAGAGGCTACAAAAAAAAAAAAGAAAAAAAATTATGAACACTCATAGAACATGATAATTTAAATAATAAAAACTGAGCTTTGCGTCATCAAAAGGAACACCAGATTGACTGTGGGAACTACAGACTCCAAGTCCAACAGGAGATGGGCAGCTTTGTGCATCTGAGCAAGCAGTCTGTACCATCTCTCCTCTAACCTAGACGCTGACTCAACACACCTCCTGTCACTCCAACTTCAATGCCACAGTGCAGATCACGTGCCCTCATTTACATTACAACTATACATTTCATTTTAGCTAACTCTAAATCCGCATGGGGCACATTCTTGCAAGGATTGGCATTATTTACATAAATCTCAAGGACAGATTTTGAAGAAGAAAAATGCTACAGACAATTTATAGATTGGGATCTGAGTTCTCTTCTGCTTTTTAAAAATCCAACTTCCACAATCTCTTGTCATGCCATCCTTTTCCCAGCAGGGCAGAGGGAAATGCAAGGGATCTCAAAGACCCCCACATACAGCAGTTATACAGGCGGTTCAGCTTCTTCAGGTCAGCATCGCTGAAGTCCATTCGCTGGCCGATCACATCCTCAAAGTCTGAGATTCTCGTAACGATGGTGGGCTCCGTGCCATTTTGGAAAGCAGTTTTACTGTAGTGCATCACTGAGGTGTAGTCATAGGGAACGTTCAGGGAATCCGATACTCGGTCATCATAGACATTGAAATTGTGTTCGCGGCCTAAATTTTATTTTTAAAAAAAAAATTATTATTTGGTGCCCATAAAATTTAGTTGTTCTTGCTGTAAACACCATTAACTAAGAAATACAGTAGTGCGAACCTTGCTACACTTCACTGCATTTCAGTGTCTTGCATATTCCTGTCTTAGGACAGGACATCATGCACAAATTATACCAGCACTCACTAAGTATCACTTGACATTAGTCACTCATGTACCCAAACTTCCATCACAGCCTAAAGTCAGAATAATAACATTTTATCCAAGGCTCTACCTTCTGCTAATGGGAAAGAGTGTCCCAAAAATTGGTGGAGAAACGGGGTCACTGGCCAGTGCTGACAGAAGTTTAAGGCGTTCATAGCAGATGGAGAGGGAAGGAAGGAGGACTTGGTAAGTGTGGCAAGTTGGAACCTGGGATTGATGGATAACAGGCAAGTCACTAGGAATGCTCAACATAGTCAGGATTTCATGTTTACTAGAATACTTGTAGATGCATTGAATCATAGTGACTGTCATTCATAATAATGAATTATATATTTTGAAAAGGCAAAGAGTAATTTCAAGTGCTTATTGCAAAAAATGCTGAGTGAGATAATAGACTTCTTGGTTTATTTAGCTTCTTTTAAGCGAGGTGATAAATGTGCTGATTATTTTATTAATGTACATATACCAAAATATCATTTTGTAGCCCATAAATATATTTACTTAGGATTTGTAAATATACAATATTCTTTTTCTGAGTCTCCATGAGTTTCAAAGGTATTTATTTTAAAACATTACATTGAGTATATTTAGAGAAAAGATAATAGGCTACTTAGCATCCTGGCAATGAATAACTGAACACAACTTGAAATCAGATGAATTCATACACATAATGAAGTATGTCTGATCTCCAAACTATATAAATGTATTATCAAATGTGGGCAGAGATTTTGGGAATCCTAAGGCCAAGAACATGGGTTAGAGCTAACACTTCCCTGTCTAAGTTTATAAGGCACCTCAGAAGCACAACATTAGGACTCTGGGATACCAGCACCTCAACGACTTCAAGGTATGCCAGCCTCTGCTGAGTCTAAAGCTAAATGGAGTAAGAGTTGGAAAATCGGATCTTTTCAGTTATTACCTACTCATACCAACAGCAGGTGAGCACACCTGCTCAGAAACTCAATTTGTAATTGATGAGGTAAAAACACAAGAGAAACGAACCTTCCAGAATTCTGTCCCAAACAATCATGACATAGTCATCCCTGTCAGCTCGAGATTGCTCATGCCAGAACCCCAGCGCATGGAGGAACTCGTGCTGCACAGTCGCTATTCTGTCACAGTTTTGCCCGATGGACAGCTCTTGCCTCCCAACACGTCTGTTTCCTACTGAAGACCAACATCTGATGGAGAGTTCACAGGGGAAGGGGGGCACACTGTTACCCCAATGCACGCCAAGGTCACAGGTCAAGAGCCTCACTGTTTAGTCCACTTTGTCACCCAAGTAGGCCTTTCCCTGCTACATCTGGACACTGAATTTTTCTCAGAACCCAGATGAGGCACGAAAAGCCCTGGAGAACAGATAATCTTTGGAGAATTGGCCTTAACAGCACATATTACATAGAAACTAGTCACCCCGGCCCAGCATTCACTACGTAGACTAGGCCATCCTCTGCCTTCTGAGTGCTCCACCTTATTATTTTTTAAATTGATTCTTTGAAAATTTCATACAATGTATTTTGATCATATGCCAACCTCCCCCACACTTCATGTTCATTTGATTGTTTTGTTTGTTTAAGTCTTATTGAGTCTAATTTGTGTTCCCCAAATGCTTTGGGGCATGGGTCTATCCCTTGGAACCTGGTTACCCTACACAGCATTATGCTTCTAAAGAAACCGACTCTTGAGGCTGGAGAAATGGCTTAGTGGTTAAGAGCACTGGCTGTTCTTGCAAAGGACCCAGGTTCGGTTCCCAAAATCCACATGGTGGCTAACAATCATCTATAACTCCAGTTCCATGAATCTGACACCCTCTTCTGATCCCCAAGGGCACAACACGAGTACAGTTACATACATGCAGGCAATACACTCATACATATAAAAATAATAATAATAAGTTTTTTTTTAAAAAAAAAAGAAAGAAACTGACTCTTCCTCTCCCAGAATCTATCAATTGCCAATAGATCCTCAGCTAAAGTCAGGATTTCTTGCTCACCTCCCTATCAATGCTGAATTTTGTCTGGCTTGAGCTTGACCAGGTCTTGTGCATGCAGTCACAAGTGCTGTGGGTTCATATGTGCAATTTCCCTGTTATGTACAGAAGACAGTGTCCTTATATTCACTCACCACCTCTGGCTCTTACAATATTTCTTCCCCTCCTTTCACAATGATCCCTGAGTCTTGGGAGAAGAGGGTGTGATATATCTACCTTATGTTTTTTTTTTGAGACAGGTTCTCTCACTAAGCCTGAACAAGTTGGTTAGTCTGCTTACCAGTGAACTTCAGGGATTCACCTGTCTCTACTTCCCCAGTACCGGGACAAAAGACACATGCTCTGCACCCAGATTTTTTAACATGTGTTCTGGGGACCCGAATCCAGGTCCTCATGCTTGTGCAGCTAGCATTATACAAACTAAGACATCCTCTCAGTCCCAGGCTGGCTTTTCTTTTTCCTTCCTTCCTTTCCTTCCTTCCTTCTTCCTGTTTTTCTTTCTGTCTGCCTGTCTTTCCTATCTCTGTGTGTGTCTCTATCTCCCTTGTTTTCTCTCTCTCTCTCTCTCTCTCTCTCTCTCTCTCTCTCTCTCCTCTCTGTCTCTCCCTCACTCTCATCATGCTGTGACTCTTCCCCAGGGGCTTACACATGCTGGGTAGGTGCTCTATTACTGTGAAAATATTGTTTTTATGGCCAGAGAAACCAGACCTAAAGGTCTTACTCTGTAACAAACAGCAAAGGAACGTGTGGTCCACCCTGGAGTTCAAGGCCTTGGACAACTGCTATAGGGGAACGCCCTGGAAACAACAGTCTTCCAGAAGCCCTTAATACATCAGTACTGGAACTTACCCACTGTCCTTGATCACTGATATGTAGTTAGCTTCTCCAGTCCACGGCTTGAAGTCAATGCATGTTTTCAGGCGGTAGCGTTCAAACGCATTGAGGATCACCCCTTTAGCATTCATTTCTGAAGAAAGAAAACAAGCAACACACACATTCGGATCACTATTTCAAATCTAACACCTTAAAATGAGGCAGGATGATACTGACCACTGTTAGGGTTCAGACCTACAGTAACTCTCTCCCCAGTGCAGCAGGGCCTCACAGTTTTACAAGTGCCTGAAAATGCAGGAACCGAGCTGATGAGCACCCTGATCTTTGAAGTCAAGAGAAGCAGACTTTTCTGCACCTTTAGGCCAAAGGCAGCATGCTCCCTCTTTGATGATCTTAAAGGATAAACAGACACCTTTTGATGCAGATCCTGGCTGATGGACAGAGGGGGGCGTTTTAACAGAAGCTGTTCTGATAAGCCCTGGGCTCCCGCTCCCCCACCTAATTTTTTAAAATATCTTCCCACCTTCTGCATCCCCTGAAACACCCCTTATAAAAACCCCAGCCCACAACCCATGGGCTGGCAATTTCCTACCCCAAGGAAATTGTCCCGTGCGGATTCCCTCTGCTAATAAACCCTATCCTGGTGGGAGTTTTATCTGTGTCCTGGTGCTTTCTCCTGATTGACCCAATTCATCTATCAACCACCACTCTGTTTCAGAGCAGAATGCACACCGGGACTGTGAGTCTAGGCCTTTCACCAAAGTTTCAGGAGGAAACTCCATGTGTTGAACTGCTCTGAGAATCAAGTAAAGGAGCACATGTGAAGGTGCTGTGGACTGTCTAGGCCTCTATCAACATAAGACGTTCATTTGCCATGTGTCTTTACTGCCATGTGCTTTAAGTAACCTTGGGTTCCTAGACGCAAAAAGCCTGAGCTGGGCTCATGCCTACAAATCCTTGGTGCCTCAATAATGAGGAAAGTTTCTGAAGATCCTAAAATCCCATCAAGCAGTGGTGCAGGATCGCCTTTGCTTTATGACTCTCTTGTGTTCCTAATGCCCTTGGCTCCACCGCCACCCTCTCCCTCCAGCCTCCACCTCCCACATTTTCTCCCCCTGCATTTATAGCACTCAGGGAAGGAGCTTATTTCCTGGAAATTAGAATGCATTGCTCCAGGCTGGGGCTGTAGCTCAGGGACAGAGTGTTTGCCTGCCTGCTTGGCCGTAGGATGGCCCCTCAGCACTGCAAGCAGACACCTCTGAGGGGTCACCCATGTTTGGGGGAGTTGCATCTCCAACCACAACACCTGATACTTAATCTCAAGCCTTACTGGCAAAGTTTCATATACCAGCCTACCAGAATTTAAGAAATAAGGACTTCTAGAAATCATTTCCAAAAAACCTTCATGTGTATTCATTTTGCTGCATGTGGAGAGGCCTTCCTTTGGAATTTCCTAGTCTGAGTCACTTGAAAAATGATCTCCAGTCCTAATATGTGAAGAAATACTTTTATTACTCTAAACAGGAAGTAAATTCAATTCTACACAGTACACAGAAGGAACAAAAATAACACAATTGAAAAAAAACGATATATAAAAATTTGAAGCTGAATTCTATTATAAAGACCATATAACATGTGCCAGTGAGATGGTTCAGTGGGATGGTGGTGCTTGCCACCAAGCCTGAGGACCTGAGTTCAAGCCCCAGGACTCACATGATGGAGAGAACACACGCCTGAAAGTTGTTCTCCGACTTGTACATGCCACCACAACATGTGCTCTCACATGCAGTAAAAATAAATAATGATAAATAATAATAAAAAGAAAATTTAAAGAACCACATAACATGGAAATACCCAATATATTAAAAAAGCAGAACAAAAATTTAAGGCACCATAGTTACAATTGCATTAAAATCTGTTCATTTGAATAATACGATCTAGGCTGAATTTTTACCCTATCATGTTTCCCAGACAGTTGGTCTCCGAGGCTGGCTTCCATTCTCAGTCCCTCCTCACTCAGTGTCTTCTTCTGGGCTCACTAAAAGTCAACTGTCTGTGGAGTCCCCGTGATATACTAGGACTAGGACTGGGTGCACACCTGGGCAAACACTCTGACTGGGTGCACACCTGGGCAAACACTCTGACTGGGTGCACACCTGGGCAAACACTCTACCAAAGGAGCTACGTTCCCATTCCAAGGAGTGCATGATCTCAAGAAACACTGGTTCCTCCAAAAAGCATCCTCCAAACTGATGCTGGTTAGCGGCATTGCTATCTCTAGCGTGAAGATTTTACAAGTGAACTTGGGTCCCCCCCCTCCCCTCCCCCCCCCCCCATCTCCTTCCAGTATCTATGTAGTCCAGGCTGGTCTCAAACTCAGAATCTTCTTGCCTTCCCTTCCCAAGGAGTGCTGGGATTACAGGTGTGCACCACCACTAACTAAATTTCTTCTAAAAGTGTATTTTCGGTTTTGGATCCGATTCTTTTGACTCCCCACCACCATCCCCATTTTTCGTGCATGCAGCAACATAGAGGCCTGAGATTGGTGTCAGGAATAATCCTCCATTGCTTTCCATCGTACTCATTGAGGCAAATCAAACCCAGAGCTCAGATACGGCTCGTCTCCAGTTCTCTCTGGGGAGGGGGAGGACAGGATTGCAGACGGCCACCATGTCTACCCGGCATCTAAGTGAATGCTGGAGTCTGAACTACAGCCCTCATGCTTGCCTGGCAAATGCTTTAACCACCAGGCCATCTCCACAGCCCTCTCCTCTTCTTTTTAATAATACTAAACTAAGTTTATTTGTTTCATGAAAAGATAAAAATAGTGGGTTCTTACTAAGTTCCTGACTTGGCAAAATAAAATGTTGGCTAAACAATGCCGATCTCTGAAAATTTCTTTCATTGGTTATTTCGTGGAGTTTTATCTTTACTCATATTTAAATCCTGTACTGGGACTAGAGAGATGGCTCAGTGGTTAAAATCGTGTATCGTTTTCCCAGAGGACCTGAGTTCAGTTCCCAGCTCACAACTGCCTGTAACTCCAGCTTCAGGGGATCTGGCATGCTTCTGACTTCTTCAGGTGTCTGCACACATGTGGCATTCACTCACACAGATGCACACACATACACATAACTAAAAATAATAAAAATAATTTTTTAAAAAAATCCTGTACAGGTTTGAGGTTGCTAAGTTGCAGAGCATCTACCTGTACTGGGGCTGGAGAGATGGGTAGCAGTTAAGAGGGTGTGCTGCTCTTCCACGGCCCCTAACTTCAGTTCCCAGCACCCATGTCAGGTGGTTCACAACTGCCAGTAACTCCAGCTCCAGGGGGTCTAATGCTCTCTTCTGGCCTCCATGGTACTATACTCATGTGCACACACATAGACACACACACACACATGCCTGTGATTAAAAATTAAATATTTGAAAACCTCTTATTAAAATAAAGAGTATCTCCCTAATATTTATGTTCACGGCAGTCAACACAAAGTAAATTGAATTGATCTTTACATTGATCGAAACTCAGCATATATTCAGCCTGAATTATTTAAAATCTTTAATTCTCCATTTCCTTTTTTTTTAAGGTAAGTGTACATAGCCACATAGAGGAACAAAAAATTAAGCCTTTACTAGCACACAAAGCCACCCTGGCAGACTTTAATCCCATTTCCTCGGGATCACACAGTAACTGTGGACATTCCAAGGTGCATACTAACCCAAGCTATCTTCTAGAACATATGGAATGGTATGAGGCCACCTATATTCTTCTCCAATGATGGAATTTCTCTCTTGTACCTGTCAAAAGTAATGTGAAAAGGCCAGATAAGTGAGTTAGACAAAGACCATCAGTAATCAATCAGGAAACAAGCGAAGTTTACAGCTCTCCCTGCGGCCCAAACAAATGGGGCATGTGTCTATATGTTTTCATAATATAATAAGACTTACAGAAAGAAATAACTAAATTCTATCGTTAATTTTTCTGATGAAGTTCAAGAAGAAATAATGCAGAAAATATGATTGCTGGGAACCAAACTATAAATATTAGTAGACGTGTCAACCTTTAAAACACTAGATATTAAAAATACACAAGAATAGGGCTGGAGAGATGGCTCAGTGGCTAAGGGCGCTTGCAGAACTTGCAGAGGACCTGAGTTCAGATCCCAGCACCCACACTGGGCAGCTCAAAAACACCTATAACTGCAGTGCCACGGAATCCAACACTCTCTTCTGGCTTCCACAGCAGCTGGCACTGAGGGAGGGAGGGAGAACTCAAGAAGGAAATGATGACAAAACCTCAAAATCTTAATCTTAGGAAAAAACAGACATGAGTTAAGTGAAAGCTTTCAAAACATATTAAAGGGGACCTGGGTTCAATTCCCAGCACCTACATGGCAGCGAACAACCATCCATAACACCAGTTCCAGGAAACTCAATACCCCTTCTGACCCCTGCAGGCTCTGCACAATATGAGTGCACTTATACACATGTAGGCAAAACACTCGTATACATAATATAAGTCAAAGTTTATCATAGAAAATGAATGTTTTATTAGTGTATCCCTGATAAGATAACAAATATTCCAGAGGACAGAGAGGTCGCCACCTTCATGGAGCTGGTATCCGATGAGGGACAAACGGTAGACAAGAAACCACGTAAGCAGAGTGAACTGACGTGCAAAAGGAAGAAAAAGGGAGATCTGCTTCCATTTTTCACAATATTTATTTATTTATTTATTTATTTATTTATTGGTCTTTCTGAGACAGGGTCTCTCTGTAGCCCCAGCTGTCCTGGAACTCACTTTGTAGACCAGGCTGGCCTTGAACTCACAGAGATCCGCCTGCCTCTGCCTCCCGAGTGCTGGGATTAAAGGCATGTACCACCACGCCCGGCAAGATTTATTTTATTTTTAATTATGTATATGTGTGTGCCTGTGTGTATGTGAACATGAAGTGCAGGTGTCTATGGAGGCCAGATGCATTGGGTTCCCCTAAACTGGAGTTATAAGTAGCTGGGAACTGCCTGATGTGGGTCCTGGGAACTGCTCAGGTCCTCCAAAAGAAAAATATGCACTCCTGAGTGCTGAGCCATCTCTCCAGCCTTAGCTCTGTCCCTTGAAGGGAGATCTGAAGGGTGAGAGCGGAGCTTCTAGTATACAGGATGCAAGGACTTGACTGAAGAGTGTTTTGGAAGAAATATTAGAATTTTGCAGAAAAAAGTTCTATTGGATAATTTCTAGGTCTGTCAGTTTGTTTATTTTTAAGTTAATATATACCTCTATAAAATAGCGCTCATAACAAGATCATTAAACATTCCCATTTCAATCTATACCCTCAAAGGGATATAAATTCTTAAATTTTTTAATCAGGTAGATAATAAATTATGTCTTGATTATTCTATTTTTTAAATATTTTATTATTTTTATTTCATGTATATGAGTGTATTGCCTGCATGTAAGTGTACCTGTGTCACGAAATGCCCATAGAGGTCAGAAGAAGGCATTGGATTCTCTGGAACTTGAGTCATGGATAGTTGTTAGCTGCCATGTAGGTACTGGGAACCGAACCTGGGTCCTCTGCAAGAGCAGACAGTGCTCTTAACTGTTGAGCCGTCTCTCCAGCTCCTGTCTTGATTAGTTTTGTTTTTTTTTTAAGTTTCTGATAATGAGTTTTTAGATCCCCCTAAACCTATATGTACATCTACACATCTGTTCAGCTGTATCCTGACTAGATCAGGATAAACACTTTAAGAACTGGCTTGGAGGACCCTTCCTTGACAATACTATTTTTAGCTGAGATCAGGACAAAGGTCAAAGAAATGTATTCCTTATGATAAAAAGCCTAAGTCATTCAAAGTGTTTAAAAATCCAGTTTCCTTTGCCTCAGCTATATTGAATCAGTGAAGTTCTATTTTTAAATGGCACTGCCTTATAATTCTCCAATAAAAAAAAATCAGGCAGATCAAGATAACATACGTAGTCAATGATGTGGACTTGGGCATTCAGAGACCCAGGTGATGAACGAGGAAGGCAAAGGCATTACTGTGCATCCTGAGTAAGTAAGTCACACTGTGCCCTCAGAGACCAGAGCCTTAACACAGCCACGTTAGCCACGTCTTTTCATCTACTCACACTTCAGTGCAACTCACCTCAAGTCTGATATCGCCCTCAAAAAGATCCAGTCCGAAATCTAAGAGTAAAGATAAAAACTCATGTTAGTACAGTGGATTCAAAATCTCCACATAATAATGTTTGTAAACACCCATGGGTGTGGGAGAGGGCCCAAATGAGGCCTCCCCTCTCCCCAAGGACCTATAGGTGGTGAATGGTTGCTTGGAGAGGGAGACATTTTCTTCAGTGGTGTAGCCACTGGTAAGTTGCCCAAGCTCTTGTTTGTTTTTTTGTTTTTGTTTTTGTTTTGTTTTGTTCTGGTTCCACTTAAATTTTTGAGACAGGGTCTCCTTGTAGCCTTAGCTGACCTGGAACTCTGTGTAGATTAGACTGGTCTCTATTTTACAGAGATCTACCTGCCTGTGCTTCCTAGGTGCTGGGATTAAAGGCGAGTGTCACCACACCAGGCTTCATGTTCTTGTAAAGAACCCCTCATCCAGCCTTCTGTAAGCAATGCTGATGAAACTCATTTGTTCATAAAACAAACAAACAAACAAACATGAATTAGAAAACAGGACTGGCTGGGAAGAGAAAGGATGTCATAGGAGTGCAGGGGCGGGGGCTCAGAGGAGGGTGATGGGAAGAATGTAATTAAAATACATTATGTACATGCATGAAAATGCCATGATGAAACCCATTATCACATACAAGTAAAATGTGATGATAAAAAAAGAAACCTTAAAAGGTGGCCTACAAGCTAACTCAGTGAGAAGAAGACACCTGCCGCCAAGACTGACGATCTGCTTTTGATCCCTAGGACCCACATCAACTCCTAAATCAACTCCCAAAAGTTGTCTTCTGACCTCCACACATGCAGCATGGCACATGTGCACCCGTACACACACACACACACACACACACACACACACACACACACAATATTTAAATATGATAATAAAAAAGAAAAGTGAAGAAAACAAATCCACAAACCTTCATTAATATCAAATATGTCTCGATCAACTCCCCCATCTATATCTTTGACTAAAATAAAAAACACATAAAACATTATATTCATGAAAGAAGAAAATCTTATTAATCACATAATCAGAAGGAAACACGTTTTTGCTTCAGATTCTCACTCATCTTACACGGATTAGTGGATTGAGACCCTAATCGATTGATGAAACCCTCCCATGAGGCAGGCTGGGGACTAAGGAAGGCACTTTGCATAGACGCCTGTTTTCTTCACATCCCTTGATGTCTTGAGGAGCAAGAAACTGGCCGCTGTGTCTTAGTAAGTGTAACTTGGAATGTCTAAAGCTTCTCAGCTCAGCTAGCCACTGTGTTTGGCCTTCGTTGTACCACATCCATTTCTCTGATGAGCAAATGGATCCTAGAACGTAGACAATGAAATGCTCCCCAAGAAATCAAAGCAAGCCAGTCACTGTTGGATCACTGTGTGATGCTGCAGCAGTTCTGCGTGTGCGACTATGCGGTACGCTTACACCACATGTGCTTTAGGTTCTCCTGTTCTGATTACAAACAGAGCTTTCTTGTACGACAATCTAAAGAGAAAAAAAATCAAAATAGGCTCACCAAAGTTTTCTGGAGTTGGCTGGGGGAAAAAACACATAAAAATATTATTATTATGCCCATGATATAAATGATCTTTTTGTCATGATTTTGAATTATAATAATCTTCCATTTTTTTTTCATCAATTTATGTGGTGTGTGTGTGTGCGCGGGTGTGGGTGTGCACCTGTGGATGGATATCAGAGGACAACTTTCAGTAATCAGTTCTGTCCTTCCACTATGTGGGTTCCTGGGACAAACTCAGGTCATCAGGCTTAGTAACAAGTGCCTTTACTCACTGAGCCACCTTGATGGTCCCAATTTTGGATTGTTATTGGTTCTTGTTGTTTGTTGTTTGTTTATAGTTCAAGCTGGAACTCACTTTGTACCCCAGGCTACCCTCAAATCTGCTCCAATCCTCCTGCCTCTGACCTCACTAAGCATGTTTTACTTTCATGTTTCTCCCAAGTACTAGGATGACAAGCATGACCCCGCCCCCCCGTGCCTAGCCTGTTTCTAATTTATAACAAGACACTTGGTGCTTATCATTAGCATGATATATTATTTTCTGTCATATATCCAAGACAGGAAAGTTAGAATCTAAGATGATGTTTTGAACAGAGAGAGCATTTTTGCTTCATGTAGAAACTGAAGCTTCCTACTAAATGAATTTAAAAGTAAAGGAAACAAAAGTCAACTTGAAAACTTGAAAAGAAGGCAGAGCACAAGACTCCAGCCTTCAGAAAAGTGTTCATTTTAAACACAATCTCTTTGGGCTGGAGAGATGGCTCAGCAGTTAAGGGCATTGGCTGCTCTTGCAGAGGACCCGGGTTCGATTCCCAGCACCCACATGACAGCTAACAACCATCCATAATTCCAGTTATAGGGGATCTCACTCCCTCTTCTGACCTCCTTGGGCATTAAGACCATGTGGTGCACTTACATACATGCAGCCTTAACTTAAATTTTAAAAGATTTTTTCAAAACACACAATCTTCTAAAAGACTCATGGAACAATGCATTAAAAACCTAAAAATGTATTTCCAGTTTACAACAGAAATTTTACCCATGACTTCACTAATCATGTTTTACTTTCATGTCTCTCCCAAGGTTCTACATTCAAAGACAATGCCAAACATCTAAGGAAAGTATCAGTGAGCATATTTTATGATTTTAAAAATATACTTTTTAAATAGACAGTCCACAAATGACTGATGAGTTATATGCTCAATGGGAAAAGAACGAATCAATCTCGGAGATTTATTTTGTGTGGGAAAGATGTACACGCAGGTGCATGTGGGGGGGTGAGTACACGTATGATGTGCAGATACATGTGGAGGCCAGAAGTCAACCATGGGTGTCATTCCTCAGGAGCCATCTACCACATTTTTTAGATAAGGCCTCCCACTGGGACCTGGGGCTCACCAACTAGGCTAGGCTGGCTCGGCAGTAAGCCCAGGATCCACCTGCCTCTGCCTCCTCAGCATTGGCATTACAAGCACAAGGCGTCACACCTGGCTCTTCTCATGCCAGGTGCTGGGATTGACTTGAGCCTGCATGGCAAGCATGTCACTGGGAACTATCTCCCAGGCCTCTTGAGAAAATTCTTAATCGGTGCAATGTATTTAAAAAAAAAAAAAAAAAGCTGATGGAACTCCTAGATGGTAGGTGTGAGAGTTATTGTTCTGGGATTTTCTAACTTATGGTCATTTAGTTCACCTTCCTGGACCTTAGAGGAGCTGTGAGACATGGTCAACACCTGCCTAGTGTGAGAATTGCAGGTTATATGATACCTGTGAAAGCACATTATAAAAATGTAATATTGCGTCATACAAGCATAAAGGACAATTACATCCAAATACAACCTAACAGCTGAAAGACAGAACACAAAACCTGGGAATAGATGGGTTAGATGGCTACAATCCCTTTTGACTGCAAGCACCCCGGCTGCCTCACACAATAACCACACAGCACACATTCCCAAACGATGCCAACACACCTGCGAGATACAGTTCTCAAGTATGTGCTCCCAGCCATGGCTAAACATGCATGAAATGGCATTTTTCATTTTTAAAACTCTAGTTCTTATCTATGGACCATCAGTTCAGTATTAAAACTTACTTTAAATCACAACTAAAAGTTTCCCTCGGCCGTTAGAAATTTCATATAAGGCCTGGGGTAAGTTTGGGGTAGAAGCTGTCTAGCACTGCTGAAGAGCAATTTAAATTGATAAAGATGAAGAAGAAAAACTCCGTGTTGTGAAACTGAAAGGTGGCCAGTGCCTGTGACGTCTGTCAGCCTTCACTCCTGGCCAGTTACTCTAGCAGCAATGGATGGCAGTCAGTAGCAAGTCTTTCAAAACTCACATTCTATGTCTTATTAAAAGAAAACACACAATGAAGTTGAAAGGAAACATAGCTATCAAGATTCTCGCTGGCAGAGCGGCGTCTCACACCCCATGTTCTGCTGACCCCTGTCCACCAAAAAGGAACTGTCACCTAAGATGAACATTTTAAAGTACATAAAACAAAACACAAGCAAAGAATTATCCCCTAATGATTGATGTCAATGGGTCCCAATTTTTCCAATTGTTTTCTATATGTTGTTTTCTTACCAAGCCAGAAACCAGGAAAAAATTGGCAAAAACCAGAAAGCAAGACCAACGCTGGGCACCCATGTTGTAGCCTCCAGTAGAGAGTTGCAAGCTGTGTGGCTTTCAGAGGAGAGCTGACTTTTTTAAAAGGTAAACATCATAACTTCCAGCCTTTTATCTCAATGATCCATCTTGCAAGTCATCTTGCTGTAGTAATCGCCAATCAAGGAGTTAAAGTCCAGGATCCCTAACACACCTCTTTTTTTTCCCCCTTTCCGTGCCAGTGTCTGATAGCTAAGACTTGTCACTGAGACACAATCTCTAATGTGTGTATACTGGCTGAACAAAAAGAAATACACACACACACACGCACGCATGCACGCACGCACACGCACACACACATGCACCAGACTGAGAGTGTGGCTCAGTTGGTAAAATGCTTGCCCAGCACACATGAGTCCTGAGTTCAATCCTCAGCACCCCATAAACTGGGCATGGGGGCATGGTGGCACACACCTGTAAACTCAGCATTCCATAGGTAGAGTAGAGGCAGGAGGATCCAAAGTGCAAGATTATCCTTGACTACATAATAAATTTGAGACCAGCCTGGAATACATGGAAAGAAATATATACATATAGTAAATTGACTTTTAATCTTTCTTTTCAAATAGTGAACATTTATTATGTTCCCTTCATCTAGATGCCCTATGCTGCCTTATTCTCTGCCTTTTATCATTATTTGGTTTAATAAAACTTTACTGACATCCTACAATTTATTAAATTCTAAAATCCATTATGTGCCTAGAAATGGTCATATTTGATATTCAGATACAAAGTAACAAAGCAGTGATGTATCTCACTCCTGAAATTTCTCATAGATAAATGCACATGGGAGCTGGGGGACAAAGGGTAGAAAGGCTCACCAGTTTTAAAATAAATAATGTTCCCAATTCTTCTCTCAATTCTTTCAAATATTTTCCTTCTTTTTCCCGAGATGACTTCTAACTTCTGTTTGGAGACAACATACTCAGTCCCCAAGATTTCACCTGCCTGATACAAAATAACAGTTTTGAAGTTCTGATTTTTATTCCATGTTCCATTGCTCATCTTCAGCTTGGTCCCTCCCTCCAGTCTGTACTCAGCAAAAGGATACAGCAAGGCTGGTGACCTACACAAAGGATGTAGGTGCATGCTTTCTCCCTCTCTCTCTCTTCTCTCTCTCTCTCTGTCTCTCTCTCTGTCTCTCTCTCTCTCGGTGTATGTGTCTGTGTCTGTGTGTCTGTACGTGTCTGTGTGTTATATGTGTTCATGTGGGTAGGCCAGAGGTTGACACAACCTAATATTTTTTTGTAAATTTTTAATAGAATTTTTGTGTATTTCACACAGAACATCTTAATCATCTCATATCCTCTTCCTCATTGGCACCTTCCCATAGCCCACCCCCAACTGGAATTCATGCATTCTGTCATTTATGTTAAGGCCCATCATATCTAGTTAGTGGTCCCAGACGTCCCTCAGTGCAAGCTCATCCACTGAGGTCTAGTCAGCCTATCTAGAGTCCCTCCCTTTGAGATCAGCTCTTCCTCACCCAGCAGTAATCAGTTGTCAATTCTTCAACTATGACCGGCGCCTACTGCCCATGTCCACGCTTCTGTGCTGGGTTTTTGTCTGCTTGGATGTGCATGCTGACACCATTGCTGTAGGTTCATATAGGCAAGGTTCCAGGAGCCTGTAGGACTCTGCATATGGTCATGCACTGCCTCCCTGGCTTTTACAATCTTTCTGCTCCCTCTTCTACAATGGTCCCTGAGCCCTGGGTCGGTGGAGTTCAAAATAGGAGTCCTGACCAAGGACCCACACTCTGCAGGCTCTTATTCTCTACAAAATATTTTTTTAATTTTATGCATGAGTGTATCGCCTGTATGCATATGGGTACACCTGTGTCATACAAGGAGGTCAGAAGAGGGCATCCGATCTGGAACTGGAGTTACAGACAGTTGTTAGCTGCCATGTGGGTTCTGGGATTTGAACCAGGGTCCTCTGCAAGAACAACCACTACTCTTAACCACTGAGCCATCTCTCTAGCCCCTCCACCCAATTTTTTTAGTCAGATTCTCTCATTGAACCTGATGCTCATCTATTAGGCTAGGCTGGCCAATGAGCTCTAGGAATCTACCTGTCTCTGCCCCTTAGTACTAGGGTTGCAGATATGCAGGACTGCACCTGCCTTTGAAGTGGGTGTTGGGGATCCAAGCTCAGATCCTTATACTTGCATGGTAAATGCTTTACCAACGGAGCCACTTCCTGAACCCAGGAGGAACCTTCTTGAATACAAGCAGTGACTACAAACAAGCAAGTCATTCCTATCCTCTGAGAATAAGATAAGGATTAAAAGAGGAAGTTCAAAATAATAGGTATGGGCTAGGTTTGGTTGTACAAACCTATAATCTCAGCACTCAGGAAGCTGGGGCAGGAGGATCACGAGTCCAAGGCCAGCCTGGGCTGCATACACATGACAAAATATCAAAGGCTGGAGATAAAACTCAGCATCAGAGTGCTTGCCTACCATACACAAAGCCCTCCTGTGGTGGTTCGTAGGCTCAGGTGTTTGAACACTTGGTCCCCAGTTAGTGGTGCTGTTTTGAAGAGATTTAGGAGATGTGGCCTTGCTAGAGGAAGCATGCTACTGGGGGAGGGCTTTAAGAGTTCACGGCCTCACCCCACCTCGTTTGTTCTCTCTGCTTGGTGCTTGGGTTGGAGATGTGATATCTCACCTTCCTGTTCCTGTCGCCATGTCTGTCCCTTGCTGCCATGCCGTGCGCACCATGAGGATTAAGGTTCTCTCTGGAACCTTAATCCAAACTAAACTTTCTTCCTTGAGTTTCTGCTGATGGTGGCATTTTATCACAGCAACAGGAAAGCATCATCCTAGCACCACAAAACAGCAAAGCAGGTATGAGGCTGGGTATAGCTCAGTGGTAGAGTGCTTGTTTAGCATGCTGGAGGGTTTGATCCCAAGCTCGCGTGCGCGCGCGCGCGCGCGCGCACACACACACACACACACACACACACACACACACACACACACAGTGTGGATCAACATCCCACTTGCTTCCTCAGACTCTCCTGATACTTTATGGAATCCAGAATCAAATGGCCTATTTCTTGGCTAGAGTCACAAAGAATAGTACAGAAGAAAGCATGTGGGGAGGGGATAATTCCTGTGGGGCCAAGAGTTGCAGAGAAGGGCCAGAGAAAGTCACCAGCCTTGTGGCCATGTGGGTAGAAATAAGAATGACTCTACCACAGACTGCCTAGGCTAACAACCAGGGGCACAGTTTTCCAAAGATGCTTGGGGTTGATGACATCAAGGGTTACATGGGGCCCTCCCAATACCTTAAAACTATTAAACTTAGGGACAACAAATAATTTATTCTGGGGCTTGAGATGCAGCTCAATGGTAGAGCCTTTGCCTAGCATTCACAAGATTCAGTTCTGAGCAATACAAACACACA